ATGGAAGAACCAGTTATCTCCTGTAGCCACAGGACTGAGATTTGGGAAAACCAGATCCACAGTCGAATCTTGTGGTTGGCTGAATTAAAACACAAATGCAATTCCTAGTCTCTCAAGGTATCTTCTCTTCATGTTAGAGCACTGATTGAGAATGAATGGGATCCTGAATATTTGAATGGGACATATATGTAGACTTTGATAGAGTTGGATACCTTGAACCCCTAAATTCTGTGAGATACATTTTTAAGTAAAAAAACAACTTCACTTCTGCCTGAAGAGTTTATTTCTCCTCTGCCTGAAGGACCCGCAATAGTTTCATCTGAGATAGTGACCTTGCAAGACACTGTTGATCCTCCTGAGAAACTGCACCCACCACGTTTACTTCCTTCAAAATCCTGTAAGACTCAGGTTTCCACCAGCCCCAAACTGGAAGGTACAATGAGTGTGACCCATTAGTAGGGTTAGAATTTACTACAACAACTACTGATTTTTTTTTTCCCAGTGCTAATATGCAGAAGCCTAGAGACTTTGTGTGGAAATGGTTCTTGAGAGTGGGGTATGATGGTAGAAGAAAAATAAATTCAAGTCACACCAAATTTATTTATATAGAGTCATTAAGCCAAGGCTGTGGATTCAGTGCCTTTGTTTGAGAGGTTAAGGATGACTCTAGCAGTTTGCTTGGTTCATTAACTAAAATAAGGAAGCAATTGTTAACTATTGTCAATTAAGGAGAAATTCAAGGACTTTCTTGATATACTCCAGTGGCTTTAAGACATTGGAATGTTAGAGTGAATTTATCATGGAACAACTGCTCAGGCATGCTGGTAGGTCCAGAGGTTGTGACTTTCATTAAGGCAGTGAGAAATTACTTTGTAAGGGGAGCACAGAAATCTGTGAGGAGCTTTGTGTTGGCTCTCTTCTTTAGTGAGACATTACTTGCCCTTGAGGAAAGATCATGCTACACTACCGAACAACTACGCTGTTAATCGTTGTCCCGACCTTCCTCAACAGACCTGTGGCCAGTTATTAGAGTGGCAGTGCATGGTGGAAAAGTAAATAACCAGAATTCTCAGGGATCACTTGATAATGGCTTTGAACTGGTACTAATTCCAGGAACCCAAAATGTCACCATTAGAATGTCAACTCTTCTAATAAGAGCTGTAGTTTCTGGTAATCATGTGGTTTTACATCAGGTAATCCCTGTGGTTTTACATTGGGTCCAATGTACAGTGGACTGAGTTGTTCTGTGAATCCACCCTCTGGGTGGTCCCCAGTTTCAGAATGCATAGTTGGGGACATACTCAGTGATTGGCAGAATACCCACAGAATACCCCTGACCTGTGGAGTGAGGGCTGCTATGGATGGGAAGGCCAAGTAGAAGCCACTAAAACTGCCCTACTTATAAAAATTGTAATTCACAGGCAGTACTACTTTCCTGGAGGGACTGTAGTAATTGGTGGTAATACCAAGCATTTGAAAGACACAGACTGGTATTTCTTCAGCCATCCGTTTCAACTGAACTATTTGTCCTGTGCAGAAATATATGGATTCTAGCCTGTAACCCTAGAATTTTGGGAAACCAAGATGGGCAGATAATTTGGGGTGAGGTGTTCAAGACCAGCCTGGCTAACATGGTGAAACCCTGTCTCTACTAAAAAAGACAAACAATTAGCCAGGTGTGATGGTGTGCTCCTATAGTTCCAGGTACTCAGGAGGATGAGGCAAGAGAATTGCTTGAACTGGGGAGGTGATGTTGCCATGAGCTGTGATTGCGCCATGAACTTAAGTAAATTGTTTTTCCAACTGCAGCTGCTGTACCACAGGTGGTTTTGTTCCTTTAGCAACTGTGGCATCCCTGGGAATCTTATATAAAATGTTGAGTAGGTGAATGTGTTTTTTTTTTTCTTTCAGTAATTATCACAAACAAGAGTTTGGGTTCAGCTGGAAAGGCTGGCAAAGCACTATCACCTCCTATTTCAAGCTTGTATCAACTCTCTAGGCTTACATCCTAAACGAGTCCTTAGAGACCTTGACCAACTTTCCCTTACAGCAGATGTGACATCTTTGCACTGACGACTTTATGCTGACTGAGCAGCAGGTAGCAACTAATCCAGATACATTAGTGACACACTTGCAAGACATTATGTGTGAAATAATTCCCACACAAAATGAGAGGCCTTCTAACTGGGTGAAATGTTTAATGATCTAGTAGGCCCACATGTCAAGATGGTGCTTATAAGGTCAACAGCAAGTTCCTACATCTTGCCTTTCTTACCACAAAATAAGGAGCACAGAACAAGTTGTGTAATAGATGCTTGTTTTAGCACATACCTCAATGTTGTTCAGTACCGTGACCCACTGACAAGTGACTGAAACCCTGCTAGCATGGATTGGGGCCCAGAAAAAAGAGAAGCTTCCCTAATCCTGCACCTGTGGACTCATGTGGAGTTCCCTGTGACCAGCTGACTAGAAAATAAAAAACATCATGACTGATTTTCATTTGTTACTTCTGAATATGCAGGCACCACATGCATTAGTTTGCTACTGCAGCAAAAGAAATGATCCTCAGTTTAGCATCTTAGAACAACACAAATACGTAAGCAGTTCTGTAGATCAGGAATCCAGGCAGTCTGGATTGGTTTCTCTGCTTAGGATCTCACAAAATCAAAGTTAAGGTATCAACCAGGCTGGTGACTAATTGAAGACTCAGAGAGAAACTGCTTTCAAGCTCATTTGGTTTACTGGTAGGTCTAACTTCTTAAAGTTGTAGAACTGAGGTACTCATGTTCTTGCAATCTTGGCTGAGGCCATGTTAAGCTATTTGAGCCACCTCCAAACTGCCTTAGGTGCGCCCTTCCATCTTCTAAGCAGTAATGGTGCATCATGATTATGGTGGCTGAGACAGAGGTTATCCATGGTCTTGGTAACATGAACTTTCATTTACCAGGTCCATGTCACTACAGCCACTGCTCACTATTCAATCTGCCAGCAGCAGAGACCAACAGTGAGTCCCCAACAAGGAACTATGTCCCAGAGTGGTCTGTCAGCTTTCAGATAGCACTGTGATTACTTGAATCTACTTCCACAATTGAAGGGGCATCACTTTGATTTGCTCAAATGGACACTTACTCTGGATATGGATTTCCATTCTCACTCATGGCACTTCAAGAAAACAAACAGTGTGGTATGAGGAAAGGCTGTGTCCACCATCATGGTATCCCACACTGTACCAGTTTTAAACAGGAAACTCACTTTACAGGAAATGAAGGCAATAGGCTCATGCTAGCCAGTTAGACTAGTCTTGTGATGTACTTCACCATCCTGCTGGCTCAATAAAACAGTGGAACGATCTTCTAAAGCCTGACTTGTAATTCTAGCTTTGTGGTAGTGCCTTAAGGGTCTTGGCTAACAATCTAGGAGGTGGCAATGCTGTATCCCAGCATCAAGTATATGGAACTATTTTTCTTTTTCTTTTTTTTTTAAAATAAAATAAAAAAAAATAATCCTTATCACTTAATATAAATGCTAGATCGCTGTCCTGGTATATAAGGACTATAATGTAATGACAACCGCAGTTCAAGAAACCAAAGGCCATTCACTCTCATGTTCTGGATGAAATAAGGATTCATTCATTTTAATAAACTCATCAACTTCAAAAACCACCCTCACCCCAAAAGCCTCAGATCTAGAACTGTCAGAGTTGAGTCTTTGCCTGAGAAACTCCTTTCCACACCACAGAACCTCACCTGTTTGGCGTTCCGGGGCCTGGGTGAACTGGTTAATGGCAGGAGGCACTTTCAGTCACCTATAAAAGATGGCTCTCTGCCGCTGCAACCTGATACAGCAGGGCCATTTCACAAAGTGGGTGAGATCTTTTCAGTTGGATGTCCTGTCTTGAGAAGTAAAGGGTGATATCGACCGAGTGAGGCTCAATGGAACTATTTTTCTATAGCCACATCTATGTCTTCAAGAATGAAAGAGGCAAGATGAGGGTCTCCTCTCACTATTACTTCTGGGTATCTAGTAGTAAAATTTTGCTTCTTGCAAACATTTGGCTCTGCGGTACTAGAGATCTTAGTTACAAATTGAGAGATTTTTTTTTTTTCAGCAGCGGATCCAAAAATCATTCCATTGAAATGAAAGTTGTGTCTGCAAGCTGACCACTTTGGAAAGTTCATTCTCTAACAAGAGACAAAGAAGGGGGTCCGCTAGTGTCTGCGGTGATTGAAAATGACAATCAAAGGGAGATGGGGTTCCTACTACACCAGAGGCTAAGGAAGAGCATGTCTTATATGTCTAGAGAGCTTCTTAGTCCTCCCGTGTTTTGTGATTAGAGTTAATGGAAATTACAGCAAATGAAAGTTGTGTCTGCAAGCTGACCACTTTGAACTCTATTCCTCTCAACCAAGAGACAAAATAGAGGGCCCGCTACTGGCTCAGGTGATGGAAAGAAAAATGGATATTGGGTTCTTACTACACCAGGGGCTAAGGAACAGTATGTCTGATATGTCTAGAGAGCTTCTTAGTCATCCTATGTTTTATGACTAGAGTTAATGAAAAAGTATAGCAAACCCATCTAGGCAGGACATCTAATGGTTCAGACTCCAGTAATGAAGGTGAGTCATCCTGCCAGGCCAAGCACCATGACCAGCTGACATGCTTTCCTCAGGGCAAAGGGAATGAGAAATGAGTAGTGAAAGAAGGTAGTTATAAATACCAGCCACAACAATGTGGGCTGCTGCAGAAACCACGACTGTAACAATATTTACCTGATGTGTTAATAATGTCTATCAGCACAGGAGGGAAAACAAACCAACCAACAAACAAGTTATCCTTTCAAATGAAATGCTTAGGGAAAAAGACCAGCTTTTATTAACAAATTTCTTGGCCTGTGGAAGGCCATCTTATTCACTAAAACATGCTAGGAGACTTCAGCCATATCCTACTCTATTGTACAAAACAGCAATTTGATCCTCTTTTCTCCTCAATCATTAAAGAGATTATGCATTTAGGGTGTGATGTTCCTTCTTGGACAAGTAGCCAGAAGTCATTTCTTCCAGTTTCTTCTCAAGGTGCAGAATTAAGTCTCCTCTCATATATCTGAAAAGAAAGAGACGTGTCATTAACCAAAAGAGAGCCAAAGAACCTATGCTGTAGGAAGCACTGTGGAAGATAGAAGAATGAAGTTAACAGTCAGCGTGGAGACAGAAATGCATCTGCATGGTAAGAGGTAGTCTAACCAGGCAATAACAAATGCTGGCGAGGGTGTGGAGAAAAGGAAAATTTCATACATTATTGTTGGGAATATAAATTACTACAACAACTATGAAGAAGAGTTTGGAGTTTCCTCGAAAGCCTGAAAATGGAGCTATCATATGATCCACAAATCCTCCTGCTGGGTATACTCCCAAGAGGAAGGAAGTCAGTATACCGAAGAGATAACTGCACTCCCATGTTTGTTGCAGCATCGTCCACAGTAGGCAAGATTTAGAAGCAACCTAAGTGTCCACCAACAGATGAATGGCTAAGGAAAATGTGGTACATATGCACAAGTTGGTCAAGTGCCATGCAGCTATAAAAAAGAATGAGATTCAGTCATTTGCAACAACATCGATGGAACAAAGGTCATTATATTAAGTGAAATAAGCCAGGCACAGAGGACAAACTTCGCATGTTCTCACTTATTAGTGGTAGCAAAAAATTTTAAACAACTGAACTAATGGAGATAGAGAGTAGAATGACAGTTACCAGAGGCTGGGAAGGTTAGTGGGGGTGGGGGGAAGTGCAGATGATTAATATGTACAAAAATGGAATGAGTAAGATGTAGTATTTGATAGCATGACAGGGTGACTATAGTCAGTAATAATTTAATTGTACATTAAAAAATAACAAAAGAGTATAATTGGATTATCTGTAACACAAAAGATAAATGCTTGACGTGATAGATCCCCCATTTACCTTGATGTGTTTATTACACATTGTTGTCTGTATCACAATGTCTCATATACCCCAGAAATATATGCATCTGCTATGTACCTACACAAATTTCTTAAAAAGAGGTAATCTATCAAATAAAAGAGTGTCAATTGAGGGACAATGTCTACCTCAGACTATGGTGAGAATGGAGTTCTCCATAGGCTTAAAAGAATGAGTTAGATTCAGACAACATTAACCTAAGTAACTGTGGAGACAGACATAACAGTAAGTGAGGGCCAAGGTTTGAGAAATTCAAGACACAGGCGCCCAAGCTCACCGCCAGTACTGTGTTGGGCCCAAGTACTTAAAGAAATTGGACAGTTCCTATCTCTACCCACCTTGCTGCTTCATTGATGATGGATTCAAAAAATTGTTTCTTGACTTCTATAGGTCCTTGCACTCCTTCAAGTAATTTGAAGATTTTTTCATAATCTGAAGATGTTTAAAAAAAAAAAAACTTCAGTATTATCAAATACAAAGAAGAATAGAAGTGAATCTTGCTTAACCTATACCTCACTAATCATGCTTCATGGGCTAAAATGTTTTAAATGCTTAAATCAAGATACCTGCACATACAAAATCTAAAAAAATAAAAAAGACACCTGCACCTACCTACGAATGAAAGTCTTGTAAACCATAACCTAGTGAGAAAAGAAAAAAAAAAAAAAAAAAAAGGTGTACTATGTTTTAGTCAAAGAAAAGACGAATTACCATAAATTATGGGTAAACTCAACTCTGGCAAGGAATTAGCCTCAACAGATAACATGTATATCTTCTGAATTATAGAAAGGGAAACTTCCTCTAGTTTTTTAAAACAGACATTCTTATACTACTTACTTTGTCCAAAGCATTGAATTTCCTTCACTAACTGATATTTTATATCAGCATTAATTTCTTCTTGGCTTTTTAGAAAAGGGAGTATTTCTCTGCATTTTAGGTCATCTGCAGAGAAACTGTTGGTAACGATGACTCCTACAGGTGAAGTTCTACCAGGTTTCTGCATCAGCCCATCTTTGCTAAAGCCAGTGAAGTCATCAATCCGAGAATCCAATTGGCTGGGTAGAATACCATCTCCTGCCTTAAGCTCTGATGAAACAAATTTTGACAAAAAGTCATCAGTGGGAGTTTCACCACGTTCTTTCCCCTCCACATAGACATCATGAATGATAGAGCTGGAAACCAAACTGAGAAATGGAGCTGTGGGATATGTGTGTTTCATCACCCCTCTCGGTACATCTATGTGCTCCTCAGTTTCTAGGGAATTATTTATTTCATAATTGGGAGGATATACCAGGGGAAAATCCCAGACTTGACGAATATAGGTGAAGACATATGATACAATAAAACCACGTCTTATTTTCTGGCCCTATGAATATCTATGGAAACCAAGTAAGATGGCACAACTCTAACAAACATTCACAGGTCCCTGGTACTCATTTGTTAGTGTCAGCTTTTATGCTTTATAAGTTGAAAGCAGCAAGTCTCACTTGATATCATGATTTTTCTTTCTTTTTTTTTTTTTTTGAGACGGAGTTTCGCTCTTGTTACCCAGGCTGGAGTGCAATGGCGCGATCTCGGCTCACCGCAACCTCCGCCTCCTGGGTTCAGGCAATTCTCCTGCCTCAGCCTCCTGAGTAGCTGGGATTACAGGCACGCGCCACCATGCTCAGCTAATATTTTTTGCACCATTAGTAGAGACGGGGTTTCACCATGTTGACCAGGATGGTCTCGATCTCTTGACCTCGTGATCCACCCGCCTCGGCTTCCCAAAGTGCTGGGATTACAGGCTTGAGCCACCGCGCCCGGCCGATATCATGATTTTTCAAGTTCACATACAACCCGCCATACTTTACTGAGCCAAAAGCCAGAAAACTCAGATACACCTCAACCTGCCTCCTCTCTATATCAAATATATTCTGAGAAAATATAGGCTGAAAGTTCTATACCCATTCATCACCTAAAATCCCTTTTAGCATATGATCTTCCTCTTTCTTCTTTTCTGCCTCAGAAAAGTGACTTTCCTTTCACTCCAGGTCTGTCAACTCTTTCATTTCTTCATTGTCTGTGACAGGCAGCATGCCAGGAGCTAGGGATCAGCAGTAAACAGCCCAGAGAACAACGTTCTCTGCCCTTGTGGAGCTCTCACCCTCAAGGGACAATCAGACAGGACATACATAATGAGAAAATGAAAGAAAGCAACGTTGGGCTGGTGTTGGGGAAGCAATCGACAGGCCTGTGGGAGACAGCAACAGAGGGAGCCCCAGGAGCTGCAGCCGGTTGGGCAGGGCCTTCTGAGGAGGTGCCCTTGGGCAGGGATTGGAGGAAGACATGGGGCTACCTGTGCAGAGGCAGAGGGGGATTTCCAGGCTGCAGTGAGTCTAAGGGTATGGGCTGTAGTGAGGATGGACCAGGCACTATGGGGTGAAGGAGATAAGCAGAGAGAGCCAGGAGATGGATGGAACCTGTGTTAGTAGAGGGTGAAGAAGGCCAGGCCATGCAGAGCCTCACAGACCAAAGCTGGTTTATGGTCTGTTCTGAGTGCTTAGGAGAGTTGAGGATGGATTTTCAGTAGTGATGTGGCATGATGTCATTTACATGCCAACACGATGACCTGGCTGCAGGGTTGGAGGGTGTGTGTTGGACGGGGGCAATAATGGGAAATATGGAGACATTATACAGTAGCTCAGTGACTCATCATGGCAGAGTGGAATAGAAGGAGAGAGAAATGCTGGGATTCAGAAAATGTTTACAGTATTTAGAGAAGAGAAGAAAAAGAAACGTAGAAAAAAAGAATGATAGGAGCTGGAAGTGGTGGCTCATGCCTGTAATCCCAGCACTTTGGGAAGCCGAGATCGGTGGATCACCTGAGGAGAGGAGTTCAAGACAAGTTTGGCCAACATGGTGAGATCCCATATCTATTAATAAATACAAAAATTTTCTGATTATGCTGGCAGGCGCCTGTAATCTCACCTACTTGGGAGGCTGAGGCAGGAGAATCGCTTGAACTGGGAGACAGAGTTTGCAGTGAGCCAAGATTCACTACTGCACTCCAGTCTTGCTGACAAGAGTGAAACTCTGTCTCAAAAAAATAAAAATAAAAAGATAAAAGGAAGAAAAAAGAAAAGAGGGATTCACTAGTAAGGACAAGAAATTTTGCCGGGCGCGGTGGCTCAAGCCTGTAATCTCAGCACTTTGGGAGGCCGAGGCGGGTGGATCATGAGGTCAAGAGATCGAGACCATCCTGGTCAACATGGTGAAACCCCGTCTCTACTAAAAATATAAAAAAAATTAGCTGGGCATGGTGGTGCGTGCCTGTAATCCCAGCTACTCAGGAGGCTGAGGCAGGAGAATTGCCTGAACCCAGGAGGCGGAGGTTGCGGTGAGCCGAGATCATGCCATTGCACTCCAGCCTGGGCAACAAGAGTGAAACTCCGTCACAAAAAAAAAAAAAAAAAAAAAAAAAAAAAAAAAAAAAAAAAAAAAAAAAAATTAAAAATGCACATTGTGGAAAATGGAAATCCTAGAAGGTTTCCATGAAGGAGCAAGTGAACAACTGTCAAATGCTGTTGTGAAATTAATGGCAATGCCAGCCAAAACTGTTGACCTTGACAAGGAAAGGAAAGGAAGGAAGTGAGTACCACTTCTTTTTCCTTCCTTGAAAAAGAAGAAAGATAGTTTATCTGGAGGGTAAGAGGCAGGAGACCAGCTGCACTGGATACAGCATGAAGAGGACGTGAGGACAGGCTGACTTACCCTTTTCCATAGACATGGCGGAGTGTCCAATACCATCGCCTCTTGCTCCTTTTGTCCATGCCAACATGGCCATCTTCTGCCTTTTCTGATATGAAGGACTGTCAGATTCCCTGGGACGTTTAAACACATTTTCAGGTTCTACAGCCACCTTCTCTCCTTTATCAGTCATGGTTTCCTGAAATACATCAATGAACATATCCCACTCATGACAAAAATCTAACAATCACAAAATGGCAAACAGTCTGCATATGTGTATCCAACCAAGAATGTGAATCATTAGTTTGACATATAATCATGAGCCAAAATTTACCAAGCCCCAACAAACACTCTGTTCTCATGAAAAGAAACCTAATTTTAATGCATGCTAAGTGAAAAAGAAGGAAGATAGTTTAATCAAAATCAATCAGAATGATTTCAGAATAGGCAGCAACCATCAACCAAATGTAGATGAAACTATTATTAACTCTTAGAAGATTATAAACCAACTTGTATCAACCCTTGTTAGAAAAAATAATTCCTTTTCTTTGTCCTCATTTTAGGAGATTGATACAAACCTGGTAACCACATCTAACAAGGACTTTAGAAAAAAAATAAACGATAAGATCAAACCAAAACTATAAGCTAAGATCACCCTGAATATAAACACAGGAATTCTAAACAAAAGTTTAGCAAACAAAATGCAATAGTACTTAAAAACAACGTACATCATCCATTGTCAAACATATTGCAGAAAGGCAAGATTGACTTCACATTTGAAGATCAATAAATATAATGCACCACATTAACAAAAAGTAAAAAAAAAAAAACAGGGAAACACGACAGGATTATTTTCATAAATGGGTCAATGTTTAACATTTATTCATGACAAAAACCGTCAGTAACTTAGAAAAGAAGACAACTTTCTAATGGTGGTAAGTATATGCACAAAAAACATCATGGTAAATATCATACTTAATAGCAGCATATCAGTATTTTCTCCCTGAGTTTGGAAACACGACAAAAATATCAACTATCCATTCAACAATTTACTGGAGGGTCTAAGAAGTGCAGTGGCATCAGGAAGACATAATAGGTTTAAAAACGAAAGAAATGAAACTTGTTATTGACATACAACAATGTTCCGTACATAGACAATGTAAAAGAATAAAATCATTAGGGTTAATAAACTTAGTCAAGTTACTAGATATAATAAAAACCACTGGTATTTCTTTATAATTAATAGAGACAAATAATTAGAATATGAAATTTCAAATGTCATTAAAAACAGTACCAGAAACATCAAATACTTAGGAATAAATCTAATGAAGATATGCTGGAGCACAACACAATAATTGTAAAACATCACTGAGAGAAATTCAAGGCTGCAGTAAATGGAAAAAATATTCTTTACATGGAATGGAAGACATTATTACTAGATATTACTGTTAATTCTCTGTGAATGATCATGGCAGTCTTACTTAAAATTCCACCATGTAAAATAAATTTTCCAAAAACTGACAAACTGATAGTTTTTTAAAAAGTATATGGGAATTGCCAGCACGGTGGCTCAAGCCTGTAATCCCAGCACTTTGGGAGGCTGAGGCAGGCTGATTATGACATCAAGAGATTGAGACCATACTGGCCAACATAGTGAAACCCTGTCTCTACTAAAAACAGAAAAATTAGTTGGGCATGCTGGCTCATGCCTGTAGTCCCAGCTACTTGGGAGGCTGAGGCAGAAGCACTTGAACTCAGGAGGCAGAGGTTGCAGTGAGCCACGATCATGCCACTGCACTGTAGCCTGTGTGACAGAGTGAGACTTTGTCTAAAAAAATTTTTTTAAATAGTATATGGGAATTAAAGATTTGGAAAAGCCAAGACAATTTTTAAGAAGAATAACTAATTTGGTAGATATACACTACTATATATGAGATTTACTGTAAGGGTAGAGTAATTAAAACAGTGTAGTATTGGAGCAATGCCAGACAAATGCACCAAAGGAAGAGGACACAGAGTCTGGAAACAATCTGGAAACACAAAAGAGCTAGATTTACCACAGAAGAGATTCTGTAAATCATTGTGGAAAGGGCTGTGCTTTTAATAAATATACTTTATAAAAGCAGGGAAAACATAAACCTTGACTCTTATCCACGCCAAAAAACATTATTAAAGATGGATAGACAATCTAGTAAAACACTTGAGATATTATCTTCATAACTATAGAACAGGCAAAGGTGTTTCTAATGAGGATACAAAAGCACTAACCATAAAGAATGAATTGTTTAATTTGACATAATTAAATGGAAAATTTCTGTTCCTCCAAAGACACTATTAAGACAGTGAAAAAGCAAAGCATATTTGTAGATTATATATCATAGATTAGATTGTATAGGTTATATGCAAAAATATATATTAACCACACTCACACAAGCTCACACACACATATATATACATATGTATGTATGTATGTATATATGACAAAAAGTGAGTGGAATACATAACATATCCAAAACTACACATCAATTTTTAAGAAACAAACATCCCAATAAAATTTGAGGGGGAAAACTGAATACACACTTCTTAACGGTCATACTCAAATATGACTTTAATAAACAAATAAAACACACCCAGACTCTGACTTTACTCCATTCAATGAAAATTTATTTGAGATGAATTTGAGACCTAGAAGAAAACAGAATATAATTGTCATGGCATTGGGTAAGGCAAAGATTTTTCTTAAAATAATAAATAGCAATAGTCATAAATAATACACTGAGTAATAAAAGTAAGAGAGTCTGTTCATCAAAAACACTTTATGGAGATGCTGTAAAAGCAAAACAGATTTATAGAAGACATTAAAATTACATATGTATTTTATATATGTACATATATGCCTGTGTGTATGTGTGTATAACTGAAATCCAGAATATATGTAAACTACAAATCCATTTTTAAAGTACAAACATCTCAGTAAAATTTGGGGGTAGAGGCCTGAAAAGGAACTTCCTAAAGGGCACAGTTAAATGACCAATAAATACATAAAAACGTGCTCCATAACCATTAATAAATAGCTGAGATCGGTGGCTCATACCTGTAATCCCAGTATTTTGAGAGGCCAAGACGGGTGAATCACTTGAGCCAGAAGTTCGAGACCAGCCAGGGTAACTTGGGAAAACCCCCTCTCTAAAAAAAAAAAAAAAAAAAAAAAAAAAAAAAAAATTAGCCGGGCATGGTGGGGCGTGCTTGTAGTCCCAGGTACTCCGGAGGTTGAGGCACAAGAATTGCTCGAGCCCGGGAGGTTGAAGTGCCGCTGTACTCCAGCCTGGGAGACAGGGGGAGACCCCATTTCAAAACAAAAACAAGTATCAATCAATAAATAAACAAATAATAAATAAAAACATTTTTTTAAAAGATGTGCTCAATCTCATTAATCAGCAGAGAAATGCAAGTGTGACTTAAGGAGAGATCACTGCACACCGCACACCCATCAGAGCAACTGGAATGAAAGACTAACTGTATAGGGAGCATGTGAATGTGGCACAGCTGGAATCTTCGAATATTTCTGTACGCCACTTCCCACACAGACACCCCAGGCTGTGGCTGAAAGGTCAGATAGTACCCCGGGGAAGAGCTCCTTCAGAACTGAGATCAACCAACGGAGGAAAAGCACTCCAACCCGGGGCGAGACAGAGGTCCCAGGGTCAGGTGGCCTCCGTCATGGCCGACACAGAGCTCCCCGAGTCCCACCGTAGGCTTAGAGAATTCAAGGAACAGCACACCACTCCCCCACAGCACCGGGAGACAGCACCCACAGATAATTAAAAAAACCCAGCACCAGGAGAAAGCATTTGGTAAGCATCCCCATCCGGGACAAGCAGAACCAAAGAAAGGCCAACACATCCTAGCTGAGCATGAGCAACATCCAAAGACAAATGCGCCCCACAGAGGACATCAGCACCCAAAGAAGAGTCCCTCGTGGGCTGACATAAAGCCCACGGCAGTGACCCCACAGAGCGGTGATAGTGCGTCCAGGGCACAGCCACCCCCACCCTGGCCCATGAGCACAGGCAGAGTCCAGAAGGCAGAGTCTCCCCTCAGGGCTGTGACTGAGCAGGGAAGACACACCCCCAAACCTGAGACCGACACAGGCAACCAAGGCAGGATCCCTATGTCTTGGTTCAGGTCATTTCAGCAGGAAAAGTCCCTCACATCACCTAGACGGAGCCCCTGAGAAAACCCCCCAGTCCCACAACATAGCTGAGACGGGGTGCCCAAGGAAAATGTTCTCCCGTGGCCAACACAGGCTCCCACGACGGTGTCCTCAGAGCGGAAACACATAGCCCAGTAATCCATACCACACATCCGATGGAGAGCACTGCAGAAAAGAGGCTTTCCTAGGACAAAGGACACTTCCCGCGGTGAAATGAAAGCATTCAGGGAAAAACTGAAGTCCTGACCTTGCCGGAGAAGCACATCACAAAATGGCAGTGAAACTGTTGTGGAATCGTCACATCACAAAATGGCAGTGAAACTGTTGTGGCGCCTCCCCCCAGTTGAACTTTCCAGAAAAGTGCCCCTGGGAGTCGTGGGAAATGTACCCCTTAGGGCACCTGGGAGTGATGTGCATGGGACGCGACTCACCGGAAGCACCAATCTCGTAGTGCCCAAGGGCGATGGAAGGAAGGGAAGCTGCCGGCCACTGGGAACCTGTTGGGGGCGCCAGAGTCCAGAGGAGAAGCCTCGCGCTCAGTAGGACTAAGGGCGGCAGCCCAGAGAGACCCAGGAAGAGCAGCGCTCCCCTTCGCTGACTCTGGCGCCCTCTAAAGGCGTCCTTCAATATCAACTGCACCACACACACAGGCAGAGGAATGCAGAACCCTCTCACACTGCGGGATAAAAGGGTGAATTTGGAGCTGACAGGCAAATATATCTTGTGATATATTTGTCTGGCTTTGATGACGGGGTAATACTGGCCTCATAGAACGAAGTAGTGTTTCTTCCTCCGTTATTTTCTTGAAGACATTGTTAAGTGTTAGTATTATTTCTTCCTTAAATGTTTGGTAGAATTTGCACACGAAGCCACCTTGGCTTGGCTTGTATTTGTGGGGAGATTTTAAATTACTAATTAAATCCCTTTTCATGCTATAGTACTATTTCAGTAATTTGTCTTCAAGGAATTTTTCTATTTTA